ATAAGGAAATACCAACGAAACACTTGATACTCACGTTTGCATCCAGTAAACTACCAGATTCCATTCAAACAGGGTACACAAAGACATCTATCAGGCCGTATATACCAAGTCCTCGTCGTTGCTTCCAATGCCAGAGGTATGGCCACGGCTCTAAAACCTGTCGTGGTCGCCAGACTTGTGCACAATGTGGAGTCCTAGGCCACGTGTCCGAGAACTGCAAAGAACCGCCACACTGTGTAAACTGCGAAGGAAACCATGCCGCATATTCACGCTCCTGCACATACCGGAAAAAAGAAAACGAAATAATTACATTGAAGGTGAAGGAGAACATTACGTTTAAGGAAGCACGGCGAAGAGTCGCTCCATTCTATGGACCTACATAAGCTGATACGGCGCGTCAGGGGGCACCGCCGCACCAGCCCTCGCCACCCCTTCGGCCCGCGCAGAGCGAGCCGTCGGCTGTGGCACCTGCCCCCAAGGCGGCTGTAGCCCAGGCTACACCGCCTACTCCCAAACAGAGACCGGAGACTCCAGAGTCTTCGGGTCTCAAGGCCTCCCCTCACCAGGCGAGGCCCAAAATCCAAACTAACAGCCCGCACGTGCGGGCATCCAGTGCCTCCGAGGAGGCAATAGATACGTCGGCACCCTTGGTGCCGAAAGAGCGGCGTGGCTCTTTGGAGCGCGCCAAGAAAACAAAAAAGCAAATAACAGGGCCTGGTGACGGCCCTGTTAAGTGAACTCAAACTCCCCGTCTAAAGAGCCACTCGCTTTTCGTACACACAGCATTATTTTACATTCACCATGAACACTCAAATTATACAATGAAACGTCAGGGGCCTTCTCAGAAACCTTGACGACATTCAAGAACTTCTACACGAACACTCACCAAAAGTGCTGTGTGTACAAGAAACACACCTTAATTCAAAACACACAAATTTTCTTCGTAAATACGTTATTTTTCGGAAGGACCGTGATGATGCCATGACATCATCCGGAGGTGTTGCCATCATAGTGAATCAAGGAATTGCATGCACACAATTACAACTCCAAACATCCCTTGAGGCAGTGGCTGTTCGAGCGGTTCTTTTTGATAAACTGATCACAATCTGCACCATTTACATTCCTCCTAGCTATCAGCTGCAAAAACGTGATTTACACTCTTTAATTGATGAACTTCCGGAACGTTATGTTCTCCTTGGAGACTTTAGTGCGCATAGCAGGCTATGGGGTGACTCTCGGTATGACGCGCGAGCTCGACTGATCGAACAGTTCCTTCTCTCGTCGAGCGCGTGTCTCCTAAACCGAAAAGAACCAACCTATTATAATCTCGCCAATAACACCTACTCCTCCATAGACCTAAGCATAGTATCTCCATCCCTTGTGACTCTACTCCAGTGGAAAGTCGTCAGTAATCTGTACGGAAGCGACCACTTCCCCGTAGTTTTGAGCACAAATACAGTAACTGAGTGTCCACCACGTGTTCCCAAGTGGCTCATAAACAGAGCCGACTGGGAACAGTTTTATACCATCGCTCGTCTAGGTTGTAATGACATATGTACTTTGAACATTGATGTTGCTGTTGACTACTTCACAGCTTTTTTGATTGATGCTGCAACAAAATGCATCCCACAAACAAATGGGCACCCAGGAAAACGGCGTGTGCCATGGTGGAACTCTGAATGCCGAAACGCGCGCAAACAGCAAAACGGAGCTTGGAGGCTGCTTCGGAACTCACCGACAGCCGAAAATCTTGACACCTTCAAGAAAATAAAGTCTCAAGGCAGGAGAACGCGTCGGCAGGCCAGAAGAGAAAGCTGGCAGAAGTTTTTGTCAGGGATCAATTCATACACACAGGAGGCTAAAGTCTGGAACATGGTCGGTAGGATAGCAGGAAAACAAGTACACACACTTCCACTCGTGGACACTCGGGGTGATACCTTGGAAGATCAGGCAAACTTCCTCGGTGCACACTTCGAACAGGTGTCCAGCTCATCCCACTATACTGACACTTTCCAAAAATACAGAACAAGAATAGAAAAGCAGAAACTTGAACACAAATGCACTAGATCCGAGGTATATAACCAAGCTTTCAGTCTAGCTGAGCTGCAAATGTCTCTAAACGCCTGCAGTACTTCTGCCCCAGGTTCTGACCGTGTGGTGTATGAAATGTTAAAAAACCTACCAATCGAAACACGAAAAACCTTACTTTGTTTGTACAATGCTATCTGGTTTTCTGGTGCTATCCCTACCTCCTGGAAAGAGGCTATTATTATTCCCATTTTGAAAGAGGGCAAAGACCCTTCTTTACCTTCGAGCTATAGGCCTATTGCACTTACAAGCTGCTTCTGCAAAGTCTTCGAAAAAATGATAAACTGCCGACTTGTAGATTTCCTTGAAACAAACAATTTGCTAGACTCATTTCAGTGCGGGTTTCGAGAGAGTAGATCCACCACAGACCACCTTGTTCGTATCGAGGCACAGATCAGAGACACCTTCGTCCATAGGCAATATTTTCTCTCTGTGTTCCTCGATATCGAAAAGGCGTATAATACAACATGGCGGTTCGGAATTCTAAGAGACCTGTCTCACCTTGGTGTGCGCGGAAGAATGTTTCATATAATCGAAAGTTACCTGTCAAACCGGGCATTCCGTGTCCGTCTGGGCAGTGTGGTTTCCCAAACATTTGTCCAGGAAACAGGCGTGCCACAAGGTGGTGTGCTTAGTTGCACACTTTTTATTATCAAAATGAACTCTTTGCACTTGTCTATTCCCCGCAATATGTTCTATTGTACATATGTCGACGACGTTCAGCTTGGCTTCAAGTCATGCAACTTGGCCATTTGTGAGCGGCAGGTTCAGCTGGGTTTAAATAAGGTCTCCAAATGGGCAGATGAAAACGGATTCTGACTGAACCCACAAAAAAGCATGTGTGTCTTGTTCCCCCGAAAGAGAGGCATGCACTCAGAACCCGACATTGAACTGAACGGTCAACGTCTGTCTGTAAATGCGGAGCATAAATTCTTAGGCCTAATCTTGGACAACAAGTTGACCTTCGTACCGCACATCAAATATTTAAAAACAAAATGTTTAAAAGCTATGAATGTTTTAAAAGTGTTGTCACGTACTACGTGGGGTAGTGATAGGCAATGCCTCATGAACCTCTACAGAAGCCTCATTCGCACCCGCTTAGATTATGGGGCCGTTGTCTATCATTCTGCTACCCAAAGTGCCTTGAAGATGCTGGACCCCGTGCACCATTTGGGCATCCGCCTTTCTACGGGTGCTTTTCGCACCAGCCCCGTAGAAAGCCTTTATGTTGAGTCAAATAAGTGGTCGCTTCATCTGCAGAGAACTTACATGTCCTTTGTTTATTACCTTAAGGTGAAAGCAGACAAGAAGCACCCCTCATGCTCTACTATTAATGATTTGTCGAGCTCAATTTTGTTTCAAAACAGGCCTTCGATGAGGCAGCCCTTCTCTATTCGCCTGAAGAGTCTAGCTGAGGAAACTGGAATCTCACTAGAACACAGTTTAATGGCTCCTGTAGCATACCCGTCACCGTGGCAGTGGCAGACTATAGACTGCGATGTGTCTTTCCTAGAAGTTACAAAACATGCACCTATTGCCCATATCCGAACATACTTTTTGGAACTTCAACACAAATACACACGTCCTGAGTTCTGTGCTCTGTGTCCTACGCTGCTGTCGGCCCATCCTTTTCGGATGCTGGCCCTCTAGATCCACGCATAAGTATCTTCACAGCGGAAGCTTACGCGATACTTGTGGCAGCTAAACACATCAAAGAATTACAAATACAAAAAGCAGTAATTTATACAGACTCCCTCAGTGTAGTAACGGCTCTGCACACTCTTAAAAAACAAAAAACCCAGTCCTTCTCTCACTTTACTCCATTTTATGCACACTCTACACACTCAAACAACATGTTGTAGTGTGCTGGGTGCCAGGGCACCGTGAGATTCAAGGCAACGTGAGGGCGGATCAGCTCGCTGCATCTGTCCATGAGAGCACCGCCATTACATTCATATCAATCCTCGCCCTTGATCTTAAGCCGTCTCTCGAACAAAACCTCCGGGACTACTGGCAGAGCAAGTGGGATACACACACACAAAACAAACTACACGTTATTAAGCCACACCTTGGTCATTGGCTGCCTGTATCGAAATCGCGTCATACAGAGGTAATACTAACGAGACTCAGGATAGGACACACATACACGACACACACATATCTTTTGTCTGGTGGCGATCCACCATTGTGTGACAGATGTGGTGAACCATTAACCGTCCTTCACATATTAATCCAGTGTAAACACTTAGAAACTATAAGAAAACAACATTTTACATTACCCTACCGACAACATATACCTTTACACCCTGCAATGTTCGTTGGTAGGGAACCGCTTTTTAGTCATAAATCATTGTTAGCGTTTTTAAAAGAAATTAATAATTTTCATATCATACACCCGGGCATTCCGTAGCACGACCTCTCTAGAGAGGTTTTTGCTGCGGCGGTTACACAAGAAAGCACTTGCCTCACGGCCCTTGGACGCAAGGGTATGAACGAGCGAGGCACTTGTGCTAATGCCATTCATATCCACCATCGTTTTTTATAATCACCAACTCTTGTCATCTATCCTCACCACACACACCTTTCACGGCATGGTCATGATTTTATTACTTGTATGTTTTTACCCGCCTTACCGCGAGGAATTTTATGGCCCCTATACAGCCGCTTATCACAATCATTGTCCATATTCTTAGTAACATGAACTGGCGCTCTTTGGCCGTGAAATGGCCCTTGCGCCACAAAACTTCAAACATCATCATCATCAGCATGCAGTTATCGATTCCCTACTAATCATTCGGTATCGATAATGCAACAGAAGGACGAATTAATGTATGTAATATTGATTAGCATGACCAGTATGACCCCTTCAAGATGTCTTTTTTAAAACTTTGATTCTCTTTTTCTCTGTTTAGTTACAGGCCAAGGAGAAGCTCAAGAAGGCAAGCATGGTGGCTGGAGTAGCAATAGGTAGGCATTGTGCGCTTTTCATTGGTGTTTTAAACTGAGAAATATTGTGTGACACAACTGTTCCATGTTCCTCCCACCAAGCAATGGTCAATCAAGTTTTCAACTAGGGTCAAGTAGGTCAATAAATTTTTGTTCTCTGTTTTTGCCCTGAATTAATAATAGCCATTGATGAGTGGTTTTTTTTTTAGATTATAACCCTTTGAAAAAGTACTACATACACTTCTGTAGGCATCACTTGCTTTTGCTAGTTCTTTTAACTGCTGTTTAAAAGAAAGAAGGTACCTTGAGATTTGGATTAATTGATCCTCCTTTGTAATTGTGACTTAAACTTCATTTTTCAGTGCATTGTCACACATCCTTTTCAGCGACAGTTGCTACACTTTTGTACCTAACTTGTTTATGCAAGTTGTCTCAACATGTGGTGAAATGAGAGCAATATACAATGCCTATTGGATGAACTGAATCATCTTCAGTCACGAGGTCTTGACTTGACCTCAGTGTGCTGCGTATTACAGTGAACAATCATTTTTGTGAAGGCACTATAGAATACAATCAAAAACTTGAAGCGCTCGTATTTGGAGCCAATGAGTTCATTTTATGTCACAATGGAACAAGACTGACTGTAGAATAAATATTTAACTACATGCCAATTACAATTAATTGCTGGAACTTCCAGCAACAGCATGGTAATTCACGTTATATTTTGAAATGTAGCGTTTAGTGCCTTGAAATTAAGCCATGTGAACTTGACACATCCATAGACAGAGCATCATAATTCACACCAGAAGAGGACGTGATCAATTCTCTGAAGACACTACCATGTTCGGGACGTCGTTTGTTGTGCTTTTTTCGCAGCTGCGCCATAAGTATAATATTTCTTTGCTCGAAATTCTTGTAACCCGCCGACGCTCTTGGATATTTTGCTTCAAAGTTTAATTGGGGCTTTCGTGTTTACACATGCAATGCAGTGGGCACTGGCGCAATGTTCCTCCATAATGCGCAGCTGCAGTTGTGTGTGGTGTTTAATCTGACGTGCTGAATGCATAGGCAAAGATGATAATAGTTACCCTTTTACTGCTTACTGACTGGCTATTGCGAACAGTGACTGCTCGTCACATCAGGCTAGGACATGGTGCCAACCCTCAGCGACTATCATGTCTAAACGTGCGAATTGCATTGGGATATCTCGCAGCACAAGTATGCCAGATGCTTTCTTCTATGTTTGACCATGTAGACACATGACTGCCTCCAACTTTTCAATGGAAAGATGCCCATGTGCTGCAGACACCAAAAGGTCATTATTAAACCTTAATTAACTGGGTGGTAGAGACATTGATAATTATGGTCTCACATAGTGTACCTCAGGATACATAAGTAATTTGTGAAGGCGGTTTCGATGTATACTTCTTAGTGCTGAATTTTAAGAAAAGCATCAAAGTTAATTTTGAACACTAGATATTATTCGCACAATGTGCAATAGAACAGCTGTGTATTGTTTACGTACCCTGCTGTACCAGCACCCAAGGGGCCAGGGACCCCCTTCAAGTGTAGTAATGGCTTTCAGTCTCGCCCTCTTGTAGCTGAAAGAAAGTAAAAGTTGATTGCTTTGATTTGATTTCAACCGGTGTGACCAGTTTAGCAATAACCGATGCATATTTTATTGTGCAGTGGCAGGTGCCGCTGCAGTGGCCGTAGCACCCTTAGCCTTGGCAGCGGTTGGATTCACTTCATCCGGAGTAGCAGCCGGCTCGATGGCAGCTGCCTACCAAGCAACGCTGGGTGGCGTCATTGCCAAGGGCAGTACATTTGCCCTTTCGCAAAGTGCTTGAGCTGCGGGTCTGTCGGCAGCCACTCAAGGTGTGGTAGCGACAACTGGGGCTGCAGTCAGTGGTGGCGTAACAGCACTGGCTCAAAAGATGACAGATCGGAAACAAGCGAAAGGTTCATAGTAGGTTTGTGTGAATAGTGAATTTTTGGTTCGAAGCGAATAGTGATTTCAATCGAATAATTTCGAATCGAATTCGAATGGTATGTATGACATATAAAAAAAGGAAATATTTATCATGACAAACTAACCTGCACAATATTTCTTTTAAATTGAAACAGGGGCTCTATGCAAATGCCATTTATTTTTTCGTTCAAGGGAAGTCAAAACAACCTTGAGTAGTAGTTTCGGTAGGATGCCAGTGATAACCTGTGAGATACTTAATGTTTTAAAATTTATTACACTAAGATTATAGTATAAGCTGTCATAATAAACTTAATAAAACGAAGAATTGATTTGAGGATTACATGTTCCTTTAAAGGGGCCCTGCAACACTTTTTCAAGTAGCCATGGAGCTAGTAAACATGCTTGTTGCCTCACAAATTTACTGCAGCAAAGTTTCTAGAATCAGTCCAGTATGAGCCGAGTTCCAAAATAGGCGCACGCTGCAATTGGATTCTCTCTTCTTGTCTAGACGAAATAGCTGGAAGCTAAGCAGGGAGGAATGGCAGGGCGAAAGAAAATACTCCACACGCACCTCATGACCTTGAGCACCTTTTTTTTTTTTTTTTTTTTGAATACGCGGTCTTTCAGTGCGATCGCACAAGTACTCGTGGACAAGCGGCGGCCCCCGTAACGACGAGCGCACCATGCTCAAATCAGCCAATGCAGGTGACCAGAGCCGCATATTCCTTCTTGGCTGCGACAAGTGATTTTGAGCCTGTAGTCTCATTTGCCGAGGACCGAAAGCAGTTTTTAGCTTTGAAATTTTATTGCGAATTACAGGCCACGTGCTGCGCTACAATATTTGCCTCGCATGTTTTCGGTAGCCTCGACTACCGATGGGCAGTGTTTTCTGGCCATGTTCAGTCAATGCTGCAAGACCCCGTTATATTTGAAAGGGGCTTCACGGCAAAACAAATGTTCTTTGAGTAGGCGCTTTCACTGTTTAGCCGTCCTACATTGCAGTAAAACCACCTTTACATGCGGTGACCTGCGGATAATATACATTTATTCGTTCATACTTCGAAAATATCGATAATTTAAATTCGAATCGAAGTGAATTCGAATACTCAACTATTCATTTGAATATTCGAAGCATTCATTCGAATACTAGCACAAGCCTAGTTCAGAGGAAAGGACTGATGGAGAGAATGGCAGTGGCGGAACCAAGACCGGGGCCAAAGCCGAAGCCCGAAAGGGAGCCAATGGAGAAAAACATGCCAAGGGAGCTGGAGAGGGAAGCACACAGAAGAAGAAGAAAGACAGCTGCACTGAAAATGGTGCTGAATCCAGAATATGTGGTGTGCAATGGAGTGATGTGAAATCTCCAGGGAATGCGGAAGGGCTGGAGAGCAGTCGCCAAAATGAGGCAAACGAGAAGGCAGCTGGGAAGCGACGTGCAGCCCGCAAGTAACTTTTTTTTATTTAAAAAGCAGTAGTAAGACTGTGCCCCTGTCGCTATCACTCGTGATATAACGTGATATCACTTGCAAAAGTTTACTAAAAATTAGGGGACCCATAAGACTCACCTTTAGGAGTCGGAACGCGATAGCGATATCCTGTTCCTAGTGCATACGTCAAACAATAAGCGCATGAAACCTTTTTTAACTTGCTAAGCGAATAGACGCAGTAGCGTGTGCGCCTTTAGCAGTGGGTGACCGTCTTTAAACCATGAGCCATTATGATGATCACATGTTCTGACCCCCACTAGCAATGGGTGCTTGTCCGACGCATTATTACTGCCATATTTCATGTTTAATTTTGAAGCATGTATACACGACGCGTGTGTTTGTGAAGCATGAAAGCTAATTTCACTGCATTTGAAAAGGAAGTTCTTTTCATTGTACAGTGAAATCTCGATACAACGAATTTGAAGGGACCGCGGAAAATAGTTCGTTATTTTGAAATATCGTTATAGTGAAAACATCGAAAATTCGCATTAAAAATCGTAAATGCAACAAAAGGAGTCGCCTACCTTTGCTGTGTACACATCCGCAAACGCTTGATTTTATGACGAGCGTGAAAAGAAACAAAATGCGAAGTATTCCGGAATGAGCGCACGTTTATTTGAAAAAGTCGGTGATCTTGGCCTGGCGGGTGCTGCTCAACTGCCGCAGGACGAACGCTTCGAAGTTGTCCACATTCTTATGCTCTGCTTCGGTGGCATTGCTGCACCTGCCAAGGTAAGTGCGCATCTTTCGCACGCATTCCATGATGTCGGCGTTGGAAAGCGATTCTTCTGGTTGCATCTCATTACAGAGGAGAGCGACAGACTTTTCCTTTTCCCCATCATAAGCTCCACAGATCACAAGCAAGCACGCTCCGCATGCTCCAGACGGGGTCTTACCCCTCTAGGGGCTTTCTGAGCATGCTTCATCCGGATATTGATCCACTTTGCCCAGATTGTGGTGAATTTTGCTCTTTGAGTCACATGCTCTGGCAGTGCCCTGCGTTACAGGATTTTAAAACAGAAGAAGACTGGACGACGGCAATCACAGACCCCAGACAAGACGTCCAGCTTCAGGCTGTCCAGAGGGCCCGTGAACGAGCGGAGAGGCATGGCCTCTCTGTTCCGACATGGGACTAGCCAACGGCTGGGTGGGGACCTACATAGTTGGCCCGCCGCCTTGCCTCTCAGGACCAAATAAAGTTGTTTGTCCTGTGGTTGGCTAACGGGCGCGGTCTCAGCGTCGTCTTCGCCATTGGCGTCCTCGTCGCTGTCGCTTCAGCTTCTTGGTGCCTGTGGAATTGCAGCATAACAATACCGTAATCCGGACTTTGGACTGCTGGCCGCCTTTGCAGCTGTTCCCTTTAAAATGCATGGTTTTATCAGGAAGCATTTGATAGAAGAACGCCATTTCGTCCGCATTGAATATATCATCTTCGGAGTATGAAGCGACGATTTCGCGGAACTTCTCGTCCCTCCATGCAGCAGCGCTTGCTGCGTCTGCCGCCTTCTCTTCACCAGACACCACTTGCCAGGTGATTCCATTCCTTTCACGGAAACGATGAAGCCACCCCGCGCTTGCTTCGAAACCTGTGATGTCCAAAGCATCAGCGAATTACCGGGCTTTTTCCTGCAGCATGGGTCCCGACACTGGCACATTTTAAGAACGCGCGTCCTTGAACCAAGTCAGTACTGCAGCATCCACTTCTTGGAAATTCCCAAGTCGGAGCCGTTTTCTTGACGGTGCGAGTTGGGACCCTCGGTGCAGCTCGAGGATCTTTTGTCGGTCCTTCAGGATGGTTGCGACAGTTGATGGTGCAACCCCCATCTCGTTCGCAATGTGGATTTGTTTTTTACCGGCGTCCACTTGAGAAAGAATATCCACTTTTTCTTTCAAAGAAAACTGCCTCCGTTTCTTTTTCGCGCTGCTTCCGGAGCTCATCGCGAACGCAGAAACGAATCACTCTAACCTTTAAAACGAGAAAGCCGTACGACAATCGTGCGACGTTGCCGGTCGACATAACAAAACAAAGGCGGCGAGGTTAGGCTCAACCTTGCTCAACGAGCATGCAAAAAAAAAAAAAATCGAAAACAAGGTACTGGCGATGGCGATAGGGCTAGCCAGGCTAGTGCGCATTTAGCATAAGGCAACGCATGGAGAAATGAGCAGGAGCTCTGATGATGATGATAGTGCCACATATGGCGCTGGGCATTTAGACCGCCGCACGTAATTTTTACGCTAGAAATTCGTTATTTTGAAGTGCTCTTAAGGTACCAGGGTGATAAAATTTGATGCGTTATTCTGAAACATTCGTTATTCTGAAATTCGTAGTAGTGAAATATTTTTACATTGAACCAATGGACATTTGGAAGGGGATTTCCGAAATATTCATTAATCTGAAAAAATCGTTAATCTGAGGTTCGTTATAACGGGATTTCACTGTATTCACAAGCAAAGGCATGGATGAGTGGCAGAACATCCGCTTTCCATGCAAACGACTCGGGTTCAATCTCCACAAAGACCCAAACCTCCTTGGTTCAGTAGTCACTCTTACGCAGGATTTTGTATTATTTGTTTTATTTGCATCATTCTCAATTTTTAAGTCATGCAAAAAATGATAATTTTTCACTCGCACCCAACGACCCCGAAACCGGAAATTTTGCAAAACAAGCTCTTTATTGCTATTGCGTTTAAATTATATTTTTGCTTACCCTTGAACAAACCTAATTGCATTGCCATTTTCTAACGACACCACAAACCGATTGGGATAAGTGTACTTGATGGCATTGGGATTGAATGCTTGTCTTAAAAAAAGTAGGGGCCTGCTTGTCCAGCGTCCATTAAATTGTCTTCACCTATTGAGTCAAATCACAGTATAGATAACTAATATTTAATTAGTGGTACTACACATTACCTCAGGCTTGTTCGTTGGCTGAATGGCTAGGTCCTCCAAATTGCATTGTACTACACCTACAATCTTTAGCTTAAAATAGTTTCGTTACATGGGGTTCCTCATTCAATGATGTTTGCTTATTTCAGAATACTTATGGCACGCACACTCAAGCATGAGGTAATCAGCTGTATGTAACTAATCTTTATTTGCCGAAATGGGCACTTCATCATGTTAGCCTGCTGTATACAGCTAGCCCCATCTGGGAGGTGAACTTTAAAGAACAGTCATGAAGAGATCTTCACAAGCCATGAATGGGGGAAGTGGGCAAGTGCATTGTAACTTCGTGTTCATGCAACATGGAACACAACGCTAAATCTCCCAACTGCCATTCGGCTGCTGTCATTGTGGGACTGCTTATATATGTGAAAAGTAATGTGAGGCTGAAATACTTGCGAAACTCTTGCTGCTTATTTTCGGGGAATACAACAGGCCGCTTGCAAGTTTGCTGTCTGAAGTGAATGAGCTTCCAGAGGCACTGTCCCTTCACAGTATGAGAGGCATGCATGTGACAGCTGTATAGCTTATAATGTGACACACGTAGGTGGCATTGAAGTGCAAGGTACTCCTTCACTGCCTCAAGTGATCAATCGTGCCAAGCCGAGGGAATGTACCGCCTCAATGGTAATTCAGGCCCCCACAGTGACTTTCCTTTCAAGTGTATGCACTGCCATTACCATGCTACCTGCTCTAGCCAACAATTGGGCCTTTATCGTAGGTAGAAAACCTAATTACAGCAAAACTGTGATGTAGTTGACAGAGGTGTGCTCTATGATCTTTTCGAACCAAGAGCTCCTTATGTGGCGGAGTTCTCATATTCTAGTTTCTAGCAAATCACTGTGTACAAGACCAAGCACAGTTGTTGCCATCATGCCATTGGCCACTGCAGGGACCACCTGTTCTATGGTGGTCCACTGAGGGTGTTCGAATAGCCCTCCGCAGGACAGCTGAAGACTACATGGACAATTATACAGATCAGAAACACCCTGCGTGAGCGAAAACTTTATGCCACTCAGGCATTTCATCATGTGCTCTTCAAGGGGCAGCTTGAGATAGTTACTAAAACACTGGAAAGAATACGCAGTGCTGATGTCAATCAAGAACAGATTCTAGGGGTTCTAGGGCACAAAATCTTCCAATGGAGATTTTGTGCCCATCAGTTTCGCTGGCCAGCCACATTTACAGTGTGGAATGGTTGGTCTAGTGTTTTATCAGCAACTCGCGTGATGGCACTAAAGGTAAACATAACACACTTACTTTGCCAGCAGGTCACGAACTATCGGAACGCATTCAATCGAACTGTCATGAGATGCGGCGTCCCAGGATCTTGCCATGCAATCAAACTATTTATGCGTTTATTCTAACATTTGATGGATCTGTTTACGACTTGTTACCCTGAAAGGTCATTCAACGGGTATTACAGAATACAGAGAAAGCACGATAGAGGTGGTATCTGTATTAACAATGACTCACGCAGTTGCTATAGGCGGAAAAACTAGTGTTGGAGATGCTGTATTGATGTAGTAGGTGACAGCGTGTTAAGCTGAAACTGGAAGGTGTGCCTTTGGTTCAGCAATGTAGGTTGTTCCTACTAGTGTAGCACTCTATTTCATGGCGATTTACCTGTGCGGCTGTCACAATTTCTGCCTGTCCTAGTAATTTATATGTTTTTCCCAATTCTCTAGAGAAGATAATTTGCTTAGTTTTGATCGTGTGACCCAGGCAAACAGCTGCGCGAGAGCCAATGCCTTTTTCTTTATCCCACTTTATTGACTGTTCAGATCTACAGTGGCAAGTTACACTAAAAAGACAGCGAGTTGTGAAACCATCAGGCAACTCAACCCGTGTGGCTGTTCTTGTTAGCCAATACAGTATGTTTAGCAAGTACATCCAAGAAACGTGCAGCTGGTCTGTGACGTGCAACTTTTTCATCAGAAATATTGGTAGGACGTTTTAGTAATACAAGTACTTCCCGTACATCTTAAGCACCTGGTAGAAAAAACAAGAAAGGATTGA